GGTACGGTAACGTTACAGTCAGCAGATCCTCATAAACCTCCTTTAATTGATCCAAACTATTTTGCTGTATCGGAAGATTTGGAGGATATAGTTGAAGGTGAGTATGTGCGTTTAAATAAAGCAATTGATTCTAACATTGTTTTTTGAAGAAAAGTCTGTTCGAATTTAGTTTCATATATCATTAACTCCAAAATTATTTTATGCAACGAGGTTCATTAGTCCCAATGATTGTTCTTCATTGCGAAACAAATTTTATGTTATGAAATAAATATTTTTTTTTATTGCTATAACGTTTTGGAAAAATAATAATTTATCTTTGGAAAAATAATGTATTATCTTGTGAAAAAGTAACATTTTTAAGCGATTGTTATTTATCCTTTTTCTTATACCAACATTTTTTTATATCTTTATCAAATTTTAATTACTTATATTGTAAATATCAAAACATTTTAATGATAGATTATAATGAAGTTTATTTAAATAAAACTGATTGCAGTATAAGATCATTTCAGCAGCTATTGCGACTTCCCCGTTGAATGAATGAATTTAAGACAATAAGTAAAAAACAGTTGGTTAATAATAGTTAGTTTTATTAATAAGCTCAAACTTTTTTTCATCTGTTGTAATTTAATTGGAATCGAAATTTTTTTTCCCTTTTTTTCTCAAACATCCATCTTTTTCACTAATCTCATTTTAGTCAATTATAATACGTAACTAACAATTATCAACAGTTTAAGTGTCGTATGTGTTCATAAAAACTCGAGTGTTTACGTAATTTGCAAAATATATTTCTTATCATATTCTTCCATACATTTGGAAAATTAATACTGTTTCGCAAAAACTAAAGAAATATTTTTTTAATTTCTTTTTTTATTTTTTTAATATTGATAAGTGAAACCTCGAATGTCTATAGAAATATAATCACTTCAAAAAAAGAAAAAAAAAGTACTAACTTACGAATGAAATAAATCAAACAAAGAAAATTGATTTTACTGTTTCAGAAATATCAATATCTTTATTAAAATTACGGTCTTTTAACTTCTCTTTGCATTAAAAATTCTTACCGCGTCATCGTTTTGTTAGATGGTCAGCTTTACCCTACATTTCAGTTTATTGTGAACAAAAGTTGTGACACTTAGAAATCATAGTACTGACAAAAATATATATTCAGTAGTAATTGAATCAAGGGTTACAGTTAATAGTTGTTAAGCAAACTTTGAAAACTCCCTAATACTCATTAGTTTCATTCAAAAAGTCGCCAAGATAAGTTTTTAATGTAATTTGTCTTCTGAGTTAAATTCAAAATTCCAAAAATGATGAAAATGAAAAATTTATGAACGAGAATATGGAGAGAAAAAATTTTCATTATTGATATTATTCTAATTGTGCATAAAAAAAGCAATTAATTTATTATTGTAGCAAGAGCTGAATGTTTTTATATTCAAAAAAAAAGAGAGAAAGAAAAAAAGGAGAAGTGAACAGTGAATTATTTGACAACATATTAACACAATTTGGGAACAGTATCAAACTTGAAAGATGTACATATTTGTGTTTATTAACATTGCAACAGTAATTTGTGGAATCTTTAATCAGTGGCGTTAAGAAATGAGTGGATTTCCAAGTTAATCTTATCGATAAGACACCCAAAAGAAAAAGAAAAAGAGTTGTCTGAAGTTTGACAAACCATAAAAAAAAGGAAAAAAGAACGTAACTCGAAAGGAAAAGCAGCGGAGCACTATCTATTTATAAAAATTTAAATCTACAGTTTAAATGCATTTTCATGCAAACGTATGCGGAAATTATTCTTAAATGTAAAAAAATATATATTTAAATTTCAATCATTCAAAAATATATTACTAAATTTGTTAATATATTACTAATAATCAAATTTTATACGAAATGAAAGATTTAATTTTTTAAGTAAAATAATACTAGTGATCTTGTAATAAAATTAAAATTTGCAAAATTAATCATCTGTAATTCTACCTGGATGCCTGGCCAAGGCCTCTCATCCCCCTTTTTGTACAATGATAATCCTTTAATGAAGGAAATAATTTTCCTTTGCACAGAGATAAATTAGCGTTACCAAAACTTTCTACTCAAACATACAAGGATTGAGTATTACTGCCGTTACAAAAACTGAAAGAGATTTACTAATTTTTCTTTTCTGGGTAACACAGACGCGCAAATTAGTTCTAAGATTAAAATCTTCCAAAAAACACGTTTTGTAAGAACAGAGTATTTTTACAGTACTAAGCAACAATAAGTTTTTTTTTAATGCAAACCGATATCCTGACAAAATCTCCAGTAATAGGTGAGTGGTTCATAGATTCGTGTATCACTTTGAAAGGTATTTTCGGTATACGGTACGAGTACTGTTATGGTACGAGTTGTGGGTGCTTATTAGTTTAGTAACTCACCAAGTTTTCAAAATCAATAAATTAATATTGACTATAATGTTAATAGTGAAGGGCGTTGTGAAGGACAAGGGTTCAATCCTCAGTGGCGGCTTGAAGTCCACCTAGTTTCAAATGAAGAATGGGTACCAACATATTTGTGCAATGCTGGTAGCATTATTTGCATTCAATCTGTAATTTGGTGCAATGCTGAAATGCATTACCACAATTACACCGTTGGCAACAAAATTGCGTAGCCTTGAATTCCATGACTCCCTGGCCAACAACGAGTTGTTTGGGAAATGCTTTACTTTATTATGTTTACGATTATTATTTTGACTATTATACAGGTATAAAAACTTGCCAAAGGCTTTCCGAAACTCAAGCAATGAAATCTATTGGAGCTAAGCCTCTCGACACTGTGTATCCTGGTTGTGAAAAATTTCAAAAATATAGTGATGATTATTACCGTTGCCATGCAAGATCTGCACCAATAACACAAAATCATGAAGTGGGGACAGCAAAAATGGGTCACCCAAATGACCCAACGACAGTGGTTGATCCAGAGTTAAGGTAACATTTTGTGTTTAAATTATATTTCCTTTATGAATACTTATTTTATTTAAAACAAATAAACTGGTTACCGTTGATGAAATGGATCGGTGAAGGAAAATTAGCATAGCTTGTTCAGACTTATAATAGCATGAATAATAAAATATTCTAAAATTATCGCAATAAACATACGTTTGAAAGAATTTTCTGCTTACTTAAAAACACTGGTTTTAAATTCCAGGCATTTATGAATGTTAAGCATTACCTGAGGGCCTTTAAGGTATCCGACTACCTTAAAAAAGAGGATTTTCACAAAAAATCACTTTTTTATTTTATTGCTTTATAATAATGCCCAATTTTTCTAGTTTTAAAAACTAGAAAAANATGTCAATAAAGAACTGATGCCTTTGGATAAAAACAATCTGTGTGGCAATCGAATAATTGATATTGAGATCCTAATGGTGATATTAGCTTCATTATGTTGTCCGGTTTGCTATGATAACAAATTGCATTTAGAAGAAAATTCTAGATTTGAGCTATTATAAATATTATAAAAAATATTTTTTACTTCTAATTATTAATAAAAACTATATTTAGACATATATATTAAAGTGTGAAAATACAGTAAGATGGTTGTTTAATAAAAAATTGTTCCTGTGTTAAATGCTTTATAAGTAGTAGACTTTTGATGTTATTCACTAAATACTTTAAAATATCGCTAAATAATACGTTAAAATATCGCTACGTTAAATAAAACTAAGAAAATGTGTGAAGGAATGTGCCCCCTATAAAATATAATAACTTCCTACTGACAAACATTCATAGTTTTTAGAAAAAATGTAATTATAAACTTTAATTGTGTTTTTCTCAAAATGACAATTTTGCTGTTTTTTGTCTACGGAAAACAAGATAACTCAACTAATTATAATAAATTTGTCTTCAAACTTTCAGAGATTGTTTCTTGTATTGGTGGTTATGTAACAGACCTCCAGAATTCAGATAACTGTATTATTTTTTGTTTTATGAGATATTTTGCAGTAGATAATGTGAAGAAAATGTGAAAAAAAATGGAAAAATATGCTTAACACTCCATAAATTTTTTTAATTTCATGATATCATTTAAGTTGAGGTTCATAACACTTCAGAGGGTTATACGAAACGGCTCAAAAAGTTTGATAGCTGCATGTACAATAGTTTTTTGTGTAGAGTGTTTTCCGTTAATGAGTTATTTTCATTAAAATTATCTAAAAAATACTCTTTAAACAAAAAATTTCCTGTATATCAAACTTTTCTCCATTAAATAAGTTTATTTAAATTAATATACAATATAAATTGCAATAATGTTGTGAAAAATATTTATTTTTCAAAAATTTTGTCCCGAAGGTAGTCGGATACCTTAATTAAAAAGAATCCCTATTAGAGAATTTATTTTTATTTCTTATTAGTTTTAGACCTATCTGAATAAACTGTGGTTGTCGGCTGTTGTACCATAAATCATTAATTATAGATTTACAAATTATTTCACAAATTTGACTATAAAGATTCAATAGAATTAAAATTACCTGATTCTATGTCCATTCTGTGAATCTTCTTTTCAATAACTCAATGTTTTACTGACTCATTTGTACGACTCATTTTACTGACTCATTTCTTAGTTTGTAAATTTCAGTTATTAATTCACATATTTAGAGATTAACGTTTTCAAAACCTACAAACCTATAGCAGTCCGCAAAATCATCCATTAACTGCTATGCTGTCCTTGATTCACTTAATCATCCTTTCAGCAATACACCGATTCATTAATTTGTCTTATAACTAATTCAGTAATTAACCATTTCTCCTTTTTTAGTTATACACCAATTCTTGATTTAACAATTTACTAATACGATTTGCTGATTTATTGGTATGCTTACTTTTGTCTTCTTATTTTTCTACTTTATTCAAAACATGCAAAACATCTGGAAATTAAAAAAAAAAGAAGAAAGAACGAAAAAACACTGTATATAATATTAGTAACAATAATAAATGCACGGTATAAAACTGTCATCATAAATGTTTAATTTCATTAGCTGAAAAATTGTTTGAACTTGTTAACATATATAACTGAATTCTGAAATGTGAGATAAACCAGCTGAATACTTTTTGAAGGAAAAATTCAAAAAATATTATTACTATATAAATGTGAGGAAAACGAGAAGGAGATAGCATCGACAGCTGGAATGTTTCTATAATAAAACCGCGTAATAATTTCATACGTAACTTGTGACAATACGATTGATAAGCAAATTTAAAGACAAGGTTTTAATGTTGTTGTTGTCGTATGCCATTATGGCAAAGAGGTTGCGCTTTTTCTTTTTTTTCCAGTGGCGCCAAATATGGCCCAGAATTCGGCTTCTGACACACACATACGTCACAACCCGTTTATAGGGTGGACTCATTCATACATTCATCCACAGATCGTAATTTTGCCAGGATCTGAACCAGAGAAATCCGGCTCTGCAAGTAAGACCTGTCAAACTTCAGGTCAGCCAGCAAAAGACGCACACAATTCTTGTAGATCAACACAGATCAGTAATTGTAAAACTGACAATCTTCTCAGAATCCTGAGATTGGCAAAAGTTTCAGAACTGTTTTAATTTATTCTAGCTATTGCTAGATGCCGATTAACTCCGAAAAAGACATGTACGGAACAAAGTCACTGTACCTTTTTACAGTATTTTTAATCTGTCCTACAGTTCAATAAAACTTTAATTATTCTATTCATTATACATTTACTGTTTTTACTTTTAATCTAATAATGGTTTAACCTTTAATCTTCTTGTCGTTTTATGATAATAACTAATGGGACTGCTTACATTACAGTAAGCACTTTTATAATTGTAAATACTTTTAATGTATAAAATTGATTAATGTATTGAATTAAATGAAAGTTGATTTGCTACATTTACTTTTATCTTTAATATTATTTTGTCTTAAGTTGTCTTTCATTTATTTATTTAATTTAGGGTAAAGGGAATAAAGGGCTTGAGAGTTGTAGATGCATCAATTATGCCGATTGTACCTTCAGGAAATACTAACATTCCAACTATTATGATTGCAGAGAAAGCCTCTGATATAATTAAAGGAGGTATTCATTGCCAAAACTAAACTGATATATTTATTAGTATAATTTATTACCAATTATGATGCGATGGAAATCATTTCATACAAATACCAGCAGATACTTCATCAAATCAATACAAAGTGAAAGCAATTATAAAATTGATATTTTGCATTTTAAATGTTTAAGTAGCAATAAAGTATTTGTAAATCAACCAGTAGATTACTTGAGAGTAATTTATTTCTCACTCAATAAATGTTTGATTTGAGTTTCTCCAGAACCAATGCGGGACTTTTTCCCACTAATACACTTGTTCCCTTTTATGCATCGTATACTTTTATACATGCTCTTTTAAACAAATTAATGTGACTCTAACATGCATACATCCCTTTGACTTTTGAGTTGCCTGTTCATCTCTTTCCAAAATATTACTGTTTATTTCCGATAAGTGAATCATTTAACGTATTTTTATTTAAAAAAATCATTAATTTTTTTTATTTTGGTAAAAAGGCTTGTATTTTTAAAGAAACAAATATTTTCGTTATTTGCTAAAATCCAGATGCAATATGAGATTCGTTTCAATTTTCCCGATTAATTTGATTCATCTATACAATTGAAGAAAATTATTTCCTGTAACCGTAACGTATTATGTTATTAATTCTCATTGATTTCAAGTCCCGCAGAGGACTGATCGTTAAGACACGGTTCCCCGTGGAACATCGAAGTCAAGCATCACTGGTTGCGGTCAGTAATCGGGTAAGTGACCACTTTGTTCACCTTACGTATGGATCGAAGGTGAGCAGTATACCTGTAGGTCTTCGTTACACTGTTCTACCGTAAAATGCTTGACTTTGCGCGCAGGTTGTCGAGCTACCAAAACAGGGAGGCCATCCCCGCTGCAGAGGATCAAAATTGCAATTGCATGTCATTGGATCATTCACATAGATGTTTCCCAGACCGTCACCAATAGCCAATTGGGCAGCTCTAGTGCGACGTAAATACCAACTACCTATCAACCTACCTCATTGATTTCACAATTTCTAGGTCATGAAAGACAAGTAAAAATGTATTATTAATAACAATTACCAAGCAAGACTAGTATTAGTATTTGATATTGTTGAGTAGTTAGAGAATCGGACTTCGGTCCGGTTGACCGAGGTTCGATTCTCGACTCCGCTAAGAGCCACCGAGTGCATGCAATATACGTGCTCGTAAAATCTGTGCAATCGAAAGTCCTGTGATCGGTCGCAGAGAAGTATCATGGGTAAAGGGATCTGAAGAAAATTTCCAGCCCCTTGAGATCTATGTCTAAATTGAGGAAATGGCCTCACAAAATTATGATGGTATGTCTGCGGATTATCCTCAGGGATGTTTACCAGGCCGTCCTCTATAGGCAACTGCGCAGCTCTGTTACAACATAAATATCTACCTACATCTAATATAGTTTGAAACGATTGTGATAAACTTAACTGAATACATTTTTTTTAGTTTATTGTACAGATTTTAGTCTTCATTTTATCAAGCAGTAACAAATACAAAAATTTAAAGAATTTACGCATATATAATTGAACAACCATTTTTTTTTAAATTATCCATAACTTGCTGTACTCCTAACTTGAAAAAAAAAATTTTTTTTAAACTACCTGAGTGTAACTTTCATTGCCCATAGGTTTGCTTAAAAAAAACTTTTTTGTTTCAAAAAAAAGGCAGTGTTTTGTAAATTATAAGTTATACAATTAATTAGTAACATAAACTAAAAAAGGTAAGTTACATAATATATAAGTTTAAATAGCATAAAATAAGTTAAATTTACATGAATTACTCGAAAACAGTCGAATCAATTAAAAAATCCCTACGCGCAACGAAAACTATTTATTATGAAACTTTTTTCATATTTTGAAATAAATTGGTTAAAAATTGTTCTACTTGGTAATAAGAGAAATGATCAACAAATAAGAGAAACGTAGTTTTGAATAAATTGCTTTTAATGTTTCGTGAGCAAATTCATATGAATACATAAATTTTTTTAGCTAACTATAATGCATCAATACCAGATCCATAACATGCTTTTTTATCACTTTCAGCAGTCTCGAGCGCTAGTCTATCCCTTTTTCTTGTCGATCGACCCTCATCTGTAACCCATGTTTTATAGAGAAACAGCCAAAATTTGGTGGTATTCTTCATTTTTAGCATATTTTCTTTATCTTTTGGGCTTACATTTATTTCTGATTGTTCCAAAACTGTCTAAAACCTCGAAATTCAAATCAAAGTTTTGTTTAAAAAATGCTTTTAAATATTCCTTTTTGAATGAAGTTCAGTTACATAAATAAAAAATCTTACAACCAATTCCCTTTCGAAATCCCTGTATTTAAGTCAAAAACAAGCAGAAAAAAATTATCTCTTTCGTGATTGCAATGGCTTGAATAACTGTAGCTCTAATATCTAAACCTCAACACCCTCTTAGAGGAAACATTTCCTTCAGGTATTTGCTTTAAGATGATATATAAAAATTGGAAGAAAGGAGGTTGTGTGTTGTTCATGAAAATTACTTTTCTTTTCCATAAAAAAGATTCCTTGAAATTTCATACGCATGAATACCAACTTTCTGAGTCTATAAGAGAATTTTTCAAGCCCCCAAAATTTTACGAAAATACGAGTCGATTTACACAGTCGTAATAAAGTTGGACATTTGTTTATCGTGAAATATCAAAGCATTATAAGCAATGAGATATATATGAATAACTTTATATCAGTTCACCAAAGTATTGAAAATAGTTTATCAAAACTATTTTCAATGCAGTTAATTTTGTATTTTCTCACATAGTATTTTCTTTTCATATAAAGGTGCTTTTAGGAACAAAAATTTAAACTAAGTTCAGAAAAATTTTAGGGAAAAGAAAAGTTGAGATATAGTGCATTTAAGAGTATTTCAAAATCATAACACAATGAAAAATTTTAAAACATTCCAAAAAGCTAAAAATTTAAAGTTTCCAAAACATTTTTGTGTCAGATAACATTAGCAGTGTTGTCATAGAGATCTCACTTTGGAATAGATTCTACTTCATGGTATCTGCTGAGTCCAACAAAAAATCATTTTCACCCCTTTTCTAAAAATTCGAAATTCCACACTTTTTAAAAGATTTTAAATTAACATTAGAATCAATATTTTGTTACACACCTGGTATCTGTCGAATGGCATAATATAAAGAGCAGCTTGTATACTTTCTGTTTTCCATTTGTGTAATAGTTTTTTGCCTTTCCCTCAACTATCTATTTCAAGAAAATCAAATGTTATCATCAGAGGGTTTTTTAATTTCAGAAACTTTCAATATTTGCTTTTTCTCAACGGTCGACTTATATACCAACGCACCTATATATATATCCAGTNTAAATTTGAGTTTTATGGTGTTTTAAGAAGATTAACAATAAGATTTCATAGACCTTCCTCATTATTTATAAACTATTTTTACATTATCTACTCTATGTTTAAAATTTGGATTGACTTTCTGAATTGCACAAACTGCATAGATTGCATATTAATTTAAAAACATAGTTCAATTTAAATTATAATTAAAATTTAACAAAAAATTATATATCAAAAATATTTTAGTTGGTGCAGGACAAATTAATTTTAATAAAATTGAAATTGACACCGTTTGTGTGGTTGTGTAATATGTATGAAAAAGTTAAGCTGATAGTACTTATAAACAACAGCTTAGTATTATTAAGTAAAAGCTAAACATAAGCACTGTAAGTGTATCTGAGATTTCAAAGATGGAATAAATTTACTTCATTAAGGAGATACTGTAAAATCTCAGTGTAAGTCACTTATTCCTTGGGTGCTTTCATTATTTAAAACAGAAATTTTTATAATTTATCTCAATTCAAACAAGCGTTTATGCATCAATATAAAAGATCAGCTATATTAAAGTGTAAAAAAGCAATGAAATTCGAAAATTTTTCCAAAAAAAAATCTTAAAATCAGAACAGATGTTTTATTAGTCTCCAAGCAATTAAATATGAGATCACAAATTTCGCCAGTTTAATTTGATCACAGTTTGACGTGAGCAAAACATTTAAAGCTGTTGTGAAATTAAAATGCATACAATTTCCATCGAAACAACAAAAGCATTAATATCATAACTACATCATCATCAGTGAAGAGTTGCCATTATATATGTTTTAAATGTCAACAATCACGCCACATATTTTAAATGTAAAATAAAAATATTTTTTTTAATTATACTTGATAGAGTGTAATATAACCTTTATAATAAATTATACTTAAAAGATACATTGTTAAATAACTCAAAATTTAATTTGATAATTTTTAAGAAAAAGAACTGAATTGAAATGAAATGGTAGGAATAGAAACTATTTTAACCTGAAATGATAAAAAACTCTTTATTTTAGCTAAAAGTTTAACAGTGAAATTTTAGCTAAAGAAAAAGCAGTGAAATTTTAGCTTTGAATTTTAGCTAAAAGTTTAACAGTATTTACAAATATGCAACCCAGAAATAAGCCAAAATAAAAATGCTAGTTATCTTTGATTTTTGTTGTAATTTATTATCTGTAGCTTTTTAAGTAAGAATAACCTAATTAGTTACTTTTGACAAGTTGTAAAACAGTACTATTAAAAATCAATGAAAATTTAAAATAAATAAAAATAATTAATAAAATTTTTTACTACCTGTTCACAGAAAATAATACTTATACTTCGAATTCGATATACATATACCACCAGGAAAAGTAATGAATAATGTAACTAAAAGGTTATAAAACTTATTTTTTCCATCTTAATTTATGCCCCATTTATTAATCCTCTATTTTCTGTGAAGATAATGCATTTTATGCATTATTATATTGATTAGCATAAATTTTGTAACAAGAAGCAATCAACAAATGTCTTTCAATAAAACACAAAAAAATTTATGTGATAAAAAGCAAATATAAAAATAAATAATGTTTTTAAATTAATTTTCTAATTTTGAAATTTATATTTCAATACATTTGAAGTATTAATGACCATAATACATTGAGCCTCGATTAATATTTCGACAATCAAAAGAAATTAATCTCGGATATTTGAAATCTAAATAATCAACCACGTTCGATAAAATTTATGTTAGCTGTGACACAAAGTGATCCCGAAATAGATTATTTAATCAAACCAAAAATATTATTTTCTTAAACCAAAAATATTTTCTCAAAATC